GAATGTAAAGATGCTTCACCTATTGCTCGACCCTGCAGAAGACATTGGTTTGGACGAACGGCTAGTGTCACCCACTGATCCATCGCTTGTTTCCTATTGTGTCTACTGAACCGCATCGCTCCCTTCCCTCAACCAGTTCCTTTGAAGATCAAGGCGTCTCTTGATTTTTGTTTCTAATGTCTTCATATTCTACCAAATGACAGGACGGCCGCGAGCGAGGCCTACGTTCAACTAAATTAATTGGGATTTACTTCTGAATAAATAGATAATCCCCGGAAAGAAAAATCGGCTTTGATATGCGTGTGCGCTACGTACATTACCCATATATTGCTATATTGCTTCTATCTGCTAATGGTTTATTATCCATTTATTTGATCTTTAGATTGCAAGAATATACTGCCAAGTTTTGATACTCTTTCTCACTGCCCGTTTGATTTGCATTGTTATTTAATCACACGGATTGTCTTTTTCATCTAAAGTCTAATTTCTTTTCTTTTTTGTTGCCACAAAAATACATTCCTTGAAAGGCTGAGGAAGATCAAGCAAATAAACTTAACATAATGAATGGAACCTTAAACTGCCTGAATCCAGTCTTAACTTTAAAGCCATGAATAGGTTTTGCTCCTTTTAAAACCTCCTGATAACTACCCCAAATAGGTGGCACCAATGAGGCACGAAATACATGGTAAATAGCATAAATAGTGAAATACTTTAAAATGAGAACCCTGAAAGCTTGAATCAAGCTCAGCACTAACCCACAAATGTTTCTGGCAAAAATACAAAAGTGATCTGCTATTGTCTTCTGGGTATTCTTCCACTTTATATGATTGCTCCACCCATCGCTGCATTTATACTGCCCCTCCATCCCAGAAGTGTGGACCTTAGATGCTAAGATTGCCTACTCCTGGCTTAGAATGACGTATGGACTCAAACTTTACTTTATACAGTATCGTGATTTGTCCTAGGACATTTTCAGGACATAAAGATTCTTGACTGTCAATGGGTATGCAAGTATGTATAGGAAAAAAAAAAAATACTGACATGGAAATGTTAATGAAAAATGTGCTCTTCCACACAAATATTTGGCATATCATTTTTTTCCTGTATGAATGCATTATTCTATTTTCAAAGAATGCATTATTCTATTTAGATTCTTGATTGCTATTGCTATAAAAAATTCCCTTTGCACTATCTGAGCTGCCTCAAATATGTGAATTCCTACTATCCTATTTCATTTTCTGTTTGCTGTTGCAGAGATGCCAGGATTTTCCTCTATCTGTAATACACAGGACATAGGGCACTATTGATAGATCTTTTAAAATATTACTTTTTCAGCCCCGGAATACATATCCAATTTTTGTTATACCTTAAAAGGTTTTCTAGTAATATCATCTGTGGTTACACCCAATTTAAGAATTACAGCCAATTGCAATTCCCTATGGCCCTATAAAAACACAACCTGTTTGTCTTCAAATACAGCATATTCTTGTTTGCTGGACTGATGTCCACTTTGGGTGACTGCTTGGCAGACTGTACCATAGTTCAGCCCTTCCTATCTTTCTGTTCTACCCAGTCCTTCATTTTAGAGACAAAAGAAATTGGAGAACACCATTCCAGATATTCCTAGTAACACAATTACTCTTCTGTACTTTTTTCCTGTGGCTTAAGATTGTGCTTTACCCAACTTTGCTAGGGAATTTAAGCCTATTTATTTTGCTATGCGTTTTTTTACTATTTTGTGTAATTGATTTTTTTCCCTTCTGATTCAGACAAACAAATAAAAACCCAATACCTTTTATAGTATATGCTCTGAAGTTAGATGAAGAACAAGCTCAGCCTCAACTGTAGCAAAACTGGATGGCTGTGGGTGTTTGAGACTCCTGGTGCTGGAGATCTTCCATCTTTGGCCCTCAATGCTTGATGGGCAGGTGGCAGCTGTGGTCAGGAGGGCCTTTCATAGATTAATCTTGTTCACCAGTTGTGCCCTTTCTTTGACTGGGAGGCCATTCTTATTGCAATGCATTGTAAATAGGGTTGCCTTGAAAATCATTTGAAAGCTACCACTGGTCCAGAACATAGGTGCACGAGCAGTGATGGGCAGGTTCCACCATACCCATGGACACCCGTGCTTCGTGAATTGCACTGGTTCCAGTTTGCTTAAGAGCACAATTCAAGAAACTGGTTGTCACCTTTAAGGCCCTACATGGCATAGGACCTAGTTATTTGAGGGATCATATGTCTCCTATGGTTTCTGCCCATCCTGTAACATCCGATACAGTCGGCTAGCTCCTGATCCCACCAATGACACAGTCACCTAGCAGGGCCCAGGAGGTGGGCCTTCTTTGCATGCCCCTAGAGATCCACTTGTTCCCCCCTTATCAGCCTTTAAAACAACCTTTAAAACATTTCTCTTCCCCCAGGCCTTGGAACTGGGTTAGTGTCAGGGTAATTAGGGTGGATGGGTGTTTGCCCGTTTTATCTCTGCTCTTGGGGGAGAGAGCTGGTTGTTGTTCCCTGAGTTAGATTGTCTTTCATTTTTTAAAATTGTTTGTATATGTTAACCTACACAGAGTTGTTGGAGTTGGATAAGCTAGAAATCTGATTAATAAATAAATGAAATTTTAAAAAATTGTTTCAAAAATAATGAAGGATTAACTGAGTTCACGTAGTGTAGTAAACCACAATTGTTTAGTAGTTTCAGGCTATGTGTAATCCCAGTCATTGTGGTCAGTAAAGCTTATTTTTTGGCTTAATGTGAACCGGTTCATGGTAAAACAAATCATGGATTATCATCCATCCATCAATTATACACCCCTATTAACCTATGCAGTGTCCATATGCTGTTATGGCAACTAAACTCTTTAATAAATTTCAAACAGAGTTCCCAATTTAAGTAATTTTGATTTACTCTAAGTAATCAAATCACCAGAAAAGGATTCAACGCTGGAGTATGCAAAACATTTGGTTTGAACTATTTTGAACGTGAGATACTACAAAAAATCCCATTGTGATGATGAAACTGTTCCAAAATCTTGAGAAACGCTGTTTTATGTTGGAAGTAATTTAAACCAAAGTGTTGTGTACATCCATAATCCAAAGACTATGGTGAACTAGAACAATTCATGACAAGATGAAATAGAATTAATAACGCATCATCTAAACCTTCTGTCACTTGATATACATTATCTTCTCTCTTACCTTAACACTCAGAAAGATTTTATTAACAGCATGATGCTAATAGCTACAAAGAAAAGCCAAAAAAGGAGGTGGCACTCTCAATGAGTGCCTATTTCCAAAACAATTAACTCCAACTACAAAGACTTATAAAAATGATTCCACCTAAAAAAACCTCACAAACGAGCCAAATTCTGCAACATAAAGTTGATAGAGTTAATACATTTTGTCAAATGCCTTCATAGTGCAAGGTTTAAGGATTGAGCATTCCTTTCCCTAATCAGTCAGCTGCATGTATAAATGTATGTTTGAAATTACTTCTGAGGACTCTGAAGAATCTCACCTATGCTTTATACCAAAGAAAGGCACTCTTTTGGGACATGAGGCACTTCTGAAATTTGGATAACATGTGATGGGGTACCCAAAAGGATTGCAATGCTGGGCCAGTAACAAATCATCTATTTACCAGAAGACAAATTACCCCTTTCAGTTGCTCTTTACCAGCCTAAGGGGACTTTTGGGAGGCTGAAAAGTATTGCGGCAAATAAATATGTTACATATGGAGCTCTGCAAACATCCCTCCATCCATCCACCCATCCATCCAACCAAGCATCCATCCATCCATCCATCCATCCAT